ACATACACACATACATATAATTCAAAAAGAAAGATAAATCTTTAAAGCAACTTTTTTTCTGAGACAGGGTTTCTCTGTGCAGCTTTGGTGCCTGTCCTGGATCTCACTCTGTAGACCAGGCTGGCCTCGAACTCACAGAGATCTGCCTGGCTCTTGCCCCCCGAGTGCTGGGATTAAAGGCATGCGCCACCACCACCCGGCTAAAGCAATTTTTAAAAAGGTTAAATTGGTAAGAATTCAAAGTGTGTCTCTTACTCACAGCTCACTGTATAACTTTTAACATCTTTCAAAGCAGCTAGCATAGACTTTCACTTATAGATGGGAGCACCTCCATTTTAGACTTCGTATTTCCAGACAGGGTCTCATGATGCAACCAAGGGTTACATGACACTTGTGTCACCCCTAACTGAGCTTGAGTGCTAGGACTGAAGGAAGCATCAACACACACACAGCTTCTTCATTAACCATCAATCTTGAGTGGCTAATGAAGAAACAAGGAAAGGACTACGTGAGCGTGTCTTTGCAGGCACAGGACGTAAAGGTTCCAAATCACTATCTTTTCTGCCCAATATTTTATTCTTCCCTGAAAGAAATCAGGACCACCTTCATAGAACTTTAATAAACACTAGGCTTAAGCCCGGTTTATATGTGAATCTGTAATTGGCCTGGAGTCCTGAAGAAATTTAGCAATGCTACTGCCTGGGGGAAGAAGACCAGGCCATTCACACTTCTCTCATCTCCTTTGGTCCCCACTGGATCATGTTGCTGAAAGAAAAGTCCTCTCATAGGCCTCTTCAGCACTTGGGAGGCAGAGGCAGGTGGATCTCTGTGAGTTCGAGGCCAGCCTGGGCTACAGAGTGAGTCCAGGAAAGGCGCAAAGCTACACAGAGAAACCCTGTCTCAAAAAACAAAAAGATTATCAACTTTGTTTTATTATTATTTTTCTAGTTAACTAATTTGGGGGCTTGTGTGCCCTCTCTCTCTCACAGATGCAAGCATGCCAGGGTACATGCTTTGAGGTCAGAAAACAATTCTAAGAACTCAGTGCTCTCCTGCCACCTTGTGGGATTCAGGACTGAAGTCAAGGTTATCAGGCCTGCCATCAGGCATCTTTACCTGCTGAGCCATCTAACTGATCTTGTTTGAGACAGGGTCTCACACAGTCCGAGCTAGCCTCAAACACATTATGTAGTTGAGGCTTACCCTGAACTCCTGATTCTCTGGCTTCTCCCCCCAGAGGATGAGATTACAAGGGCAATCCACCATTCTCGCTAAAATAATATTCGAGGGCATAGTTTTTAACTGTAACCACACCTCCCTTTCCCTTCATTTTTAAAACAGATCTTCATGTACCTGATTTGGGGGAAGCATCAGGAATTCGACCGAGGGCTTTGTATATGGTAATCACATGCTCTCCTGTTGTGTTATACTTACAACCCTTCAACATAAGGATCTACCACCTCCTACGTCCTGTGCCAGGCAGTGGTGTACAAGATAAACACAGTGTCAACTATCATTGAACTGCCAAGAATAGGGAAGCAAAGCGGGCGGTGGTGGCGCACGCCTTTAATCCCAGCACTCGGGAGGCAGAGCCAGGCGGATCTCTGTGAGTTCAAGGCCAGCCTGGTCTACAGAGCGAGATCTAGGACAGGCACCAAAGCTACACAGAGAAACCTTGTTTCAGAAAAACCAAAAAGAATAGGGAAGCATTGTTAAACAAATACAGAAAGAGGACACATCATTTTAAATTTCCTTCTAGCCACTGTTTAAAACAGTAAAGACAAGATGAAATTTCAATATTTAACCAAATAAATCCAAAACATTATTTCAACATTTAACTAATCTTGAAAAATTAAGATTATTTGGCATTCTTTTTCTTCAAGCTGAATCTTTGCTCTCTGGTGTATATCTAACACCTAAACATATTCTAATTTGAACTAAGCACATGTCAAGTACTCAAAAGCCACAGGAAGCTCACAGCTACTGGTTCCGATGTGGAGAACTAGTGGATTTCAAAAGAACTGTTGAGACCAGCTAGTCTTATGACCTTAGAAATTTGCCCCATAATTCCTTCTTGGGCCACAGTCAACATGGTGCAGAGGGGAACAAAGGGGAACGGGAAGGGGCTTACCCATCAAATGAAGAGCTGGTGCAGTCATACACCATCTCTCTGTTGCCCTTCATCTGCAGGTATGCTTCACAATTGTCACACCCATCATATTCAAACTGGTCTATAGTCTGGAAAGGAAACAAACAAACAAACGAGGGATGAGCATGAACGAGGTCTTAATATTTCGACGAAGACAACCTCTTAGTTCTCTCTGTAGTCCAACACGCACTGCTGTCCACGACTATTCCTAAATTCCACCCTCCCGCTCCTGTCTTCTCTCATCACCCTTAATTCAGCTTAGGTACGTTTTCTAGTCTCCTTGGGGTCAGGCACTCTCTCCAACGACTCTCTCAGCTGCTCTGGCTCCCGTACAGGCCTTTCCTGTCCACTCCAGTCAGGAGTGTAAGCACTGGAGAGCCAAGCTTGTGCTAAGAGCTGGAAAGCAGGTACGATCACCCGTGCCCCCGGCAGACACGAACGCCCTGCTCACGTTCTTTCGACGTAAACAATGGCTCCCTTAGGCTTCCCACTCCCCCGGCGACCTCCCGGGACCTCGGATCTGTTTTCTCTCTGGGGCCCCATTTCACCCTCTTTCTCTCATTTTTGCCTCCTCAGTCGCTCCTACAACCAGGCCCCCGACAGACACCTTGACTAACGAACACAGCAAACAAGCCCGCAGGTGCCGCAGGTCCTTCGGCACCGTCTCCAGGGCCATCCTCACCGACACGACAAAACACAGAGAGAGAGACCGTCACAGGCGCCACAGCCGCAGGAAGTAAACACACCATTACCCAGAATGCCGGGCACTTCCTGTACGTAACTTCCTCTTCCGGTGCAGGCCGGGGTCCCTCTCCCCCTTGGAGGAGATGGTTTCTCCCGTCGTCGGGGACGTGGGCGGGGCAGCCGGCCGGCAGCCACCTGGGCCGCGCGCGCCCGTCACCTGGACTCGCGTGAGCGAGCGGAAGGCGGCGCGCTGGGGGTGGTCGGGCCCTTAGGGGCGGGGACTGTGGGGTGCGGTCCGCGCATGCGCAGGAGGCGTGGCGCGGAGCGGCCTGCGGAACTCAGCGCCGTCACGCGGGCATTTTGATGTGAACGTCTGGCAGCCGGGCCCTCCCTTCCTAGGATCCCCGATGAGAACCCAGATTGTTTTGCCTGTTTGCTTATTTATTGCGACAGCAAATGGTAATTCCTTAAGCTGGTCTCTCGGCCTACAGGACGGTGACCTTGAACTTCTGATCTCCCTGCCTCCACTTTCGGAGGGCTGGGATTACAGGCGCGTGCCACAAGGCCTGGGTATTTTACTTTTTTGAGACAAGGCTGGTCTGGTACTCCCTGCCCTCATGTCTCAGCCTCCCGAATGCTCGGAATACTTCACGCTAGGTTGTTTTAAAACGCGAGGCAGTGAGTCCTTGCCTTTCTGGGTCTGCAGACAAAACAAACCCGACAAAGCCCCGCCCCTTCTTGTAACTGCGAGAGCCTGATAGGGTTTCGTTGGCGGTCCCCAGGAATGCTAGCCCGAGCCGCGTCGACAGGGGTGGGGGGCACGCATATTCAATTCCTTCTAAAAACCTCTCTCGTTTGCGCTTCCCGGCTGATAATTTACGCTTTGTAAAGCTCTCGGCACATTTAGACATAATTCCATGAGAACATCTGTACATTAGATATCTCGCTTCTCACACACTCCCCAGCCTCAGCCGCCATTGGACAGTGTATGACGCAAAATCCCTGGCCTTCTGAACTGGGCACCCAGACACCTAGAATCCTGAGCAGACTATGCAGAAGCAGCATAAGGGATGGTGCAGTGTGAACAGAGCCAAGGCCCCTCCTGACCCTAGGGAATTTGTAGAGGGCACCAGATACACGTGCCGTTTGAAGGGACCCCCACAGGAATTCATACAGAGAAAGGACCAGTTCTCGGAGTGTAGACAAAGTGTAGTTACTGTGTTTATCTGAATCGGAGCGCTGCGATATAAATAGTCACAATCCCTGCTGTTCTGTCCTTCCAGCCTTTCTTCTAATTGAAACTGAACTGCCGCAAGACTGATTCTGGGTTGTCCCAGAATGCGTTCAAACGGGGTCTGTAACTGGGTTTTTAGATGCTTTCTAGCACTGGGAAATAGCTTTTCAGTTTGGAATACATTTTCACTGAGCTATCTCATGTAAGCCTTGTATCAACTCTGAAGGATGATCATTTTATTGATGGAAAAAGCCAGACACCCTGCTGGGGAGCTGGCTCAGGACCCACCACATAAAAGCTGGGCAGCTATAATCACAACACTGGGGGCCAGAGATAGGCAAATCCCAGGGGCTTCAGGGCCAGCCAGTCTCGTCAAAACAAAGTTCCAGGTTTAGTGAGAGACCCTTTTTATAGTTTTGTTGTTTTCTCCAGAGACACGGTCTATTATGTAGCTCTGGCTGTCCTGGAACTTGGTACGTAGATCAGGCTGGCCCCAAACTCACACCTGAATACACATGTGTACACACACATACACACATACCAAGACACTGTATTTGGTTAAGGTCACAAAGTAAGTCACTGAAGCATCAGTGTGAGCAACAGTACAATACAGATAAAGAACTGAATCGTGATGACAACCCAGGCATGCTCTGTTCTCTGATCCTACGAAGCCATGTTTCGGGGATTTAAAACCACCCTATCCTTATGAGCTTTTGATACCACAACATATGAAGCCAGACATAATAACAGTACATGCCTGTAATCCCAGTAATTGGGAGGGGGAAGCAGGAGGGTCAGGAGTTCAAGGCTAGTCTTAGCTATGGAGTGAATTTGAGTCAGGCTGGGCTTCAAAAATTCAACAAAAGGAAATAGAAAAGATGAAATCGTTATCCTGAGTGGAAAATCATAATGAAACAAAACCACAAAGACAGATCATATTTATGGATAAATATATTAGCAAATAAATACATTTCTCAACATAGTGCCTGATTCAAGCATCTTTCTGTCTGGTTCAGATATAAATACCCATGTGGGTGCCTGGGTGGGAGTCTCCTCACTGACTCTGAGGAGAGAAGTTTTCCGAGTAGGATCCGGTGTCCATTTTGCCCCCACATTCACATTCCAGGCAAGGATACTGCCTGAGGGGCTGACAATGGTCAGGATGCCCGGGGACGAAGAGCTACAGGAGGCCCCTCAGCTCTTGCCCACTTGGTACAAGCTGCCCGGGCCAACTTTTGGCTCCAATTCCATGTGTACACCTTCTGTTGGGTTGTGGCTTTGTATGGCTTAGACTGGGAAGGTGGGCCTCTGGGCCCTGCAAACCCGTGAGGTCACGTGTTATTCTTCTCCAGCTTGGCTCTGAGAACCTCTCTGAGAAGAAGTCTGTCCTTGCTCAGCTGTAATCTTGTTCTCTCTGCCTTCATCTCATCCTCCCTCTGCCCAGATGTTTGGTGGGGCTTCCTTTCTGCCTGCTTTGGGATTTAGAGACAGGTGTGCCTTGAAGAGGAGTTCCTCTCTGTTCCTGATCTCTACCTCAGGGGAACTGGAGTCGCTGGAGTGACAAGGAGTTTGAGAATCAAACTTTCACCCCAGGTTTGTCCTCACCTCTGGGGCCGAAGTCTACACCCTGGCTCCCGAAGCCTGCAACTCAACATCAGTTTCAGAGCAGGGAGGAAGAACCATTCCTCCCTGAGCACCAAGGCAGGCTCCGGCTAGAGAGGGCGCAGAGACCTCCCTAGGGACGGGGGCTCACCTAACCTCCTTGTTCTTTTGTGAAGAAGGAAAACGCGAAGCTGAAGTTGCCCCCGTGAAGCCTTGAAAGGAGACAAGAAGTGGCCATGCACTCAGGTGAACTCACTGGCATGTGTGCAGCTGATGCCCGGGGCAAAGGAGACCCAGCAGGGGACCCATCTGGGCTTGGGAAAAGAGCAGCACCTTGAGGACACCTGGACATTCACCCTAGCTTCCTGTCAGGAACTCAGCCTTTAAGGGACCCACCTCACAACTGCATAGTGGCTGGAGGTCTGGCTGGACACAGACTTTCTGCACAGTAGGTGTGTTCTGCACACAAGACTGAGAACTGGGGGCAGGAAACAGCACCTCCCGCCACCCACCATCACCACTCGTCTTCCAGTGGTCCTGGGAAGTGTGGCAAAAAGAGATGCTTGCCAATGCCCTCGCTTCTCCCAGGAGCAGAACCCGGTGCCGGGTGGAACCCTGAGTCATCTGGAGCATACTGTTGTTGGTTGGAGCTGTCTCACATCACACAGCCTGTTCACACAGTTCCTCAAGCTCCTCCTCCGAGCCTGCAAGAGAAGACAGGAGAGAACAGAGGTCACTGAGGGTCCAGCTAGTCTCCTGCTAATCCCACCTGTGGAGACTGTGGCTGGGAAGGGACCACAGAGAGGGAGAAGCGGGAAATACGTCTGGAAAGGTGAGTAGGTTGAAAGCTGAGAGGGGCCCTTTGGGAAAGGAGAGAGAAAAACAAACCCAGAGAAATACTTACAGCAACCGCTGTATGACCAGTACTTACTATTCATTCATTTACCCAATAAATATTCATTAAGCATTCACTGTGAACTTGGCTTGCTACCATTTGCTGAATAGAATCTCCAAAGGAATAAGCTGGGAGAGAAGGCATGCATGCACATGGATATTATGACAGCGGAACAGAACTAGGGTCTGGAGAGATGCATCATGGGAGGAGAGAGTGCACATCTGGGCATAGCAGTGAGGAAAGCCTTTCTGACTGAAGATTCTCGAGCTGGAGTTGGAGGAATGGTAGAGCTGGGTTTGTAGAGACAGGGAATTTAGTGGGGTATTCTGGGCAGCAGGAACTATATAATTAGTGTTTACCCAACGTGACAAGCAGAGGGCAGAGGAAGGGGAGGGAGATGGGAGCTAGCTGGTGCTGGAGCCCTGAAGGCCACATGAGGTTAGATTTTTCCTTCCTGTGGACATAACCGAATGTTTGGTTCTAGACAGTTCATTGCAAGGCTGGTGGCCCTGGAGGGGTAGAGGGAGCTGCGCTGCCCAACCGAGTGTGACCGCAACCCTAGGTGTGCGGCCCTCTCGCCTTCACGGCCTGTCAGAGGGAGGCTCCTGCTTTGACCTTCAGGCTGTACTCCATGTGGGTAGGGGCTGTCAGCAGTAGACTCGGGGAGGGGACGACAGAGGAGGCGGAGGCACGGCCAACAGTGGATGTGAGGACCAAAGAAAAGGGAGACACCGCCTCCAGAGCAGAAGGTGGCCAGACTCTGGCAGCACTCAAAGCAGACAGGACAGAGTCCACAGGGAACCATCAGACACCACACGGCTGTGGACACTTCCGCCCCACACACTAACTGTTTGCATGCATACTTCCCCATGGACCTGGGTCTCCTGGAGGGCAAGCTCTGTGTCCTCAGAAGCCTGCCTAGAACCTAGCAGATAGCAAGCATGTAATCAGGAGGAAATGAAGAGATGAATGACAGTAGCTCTCAAGCCCTGCCTCCAGGATCCCAGGCCTTGTATTGCAGGACCCCTGGGATCCTCTTTGGAGGGCGAACGGTTCTTCTAGCCATGGCTATAGGTAAAGACGTGTTCCGTTCATATAATGCCTCTCAAAGGTGGGAGGGGGTGGGAGGTGAGAGCCTTGGAAAGGGAGGATGGTCTGGGCAAACACATCAAAGCTTTGGCTTAGAGCCAAGGATTTACCTTGGTGCCATTGGTTGAGACACAGAAATGCCATGAGTTCCCATGAAAACATGGCTGGCCTTATTAACAAGAGTGTTTGGAAGAGAAGGGCCCCCGGGGGAGCGGGGAACCACCTATGATTCCTGTGCTTCAGATAAGGTACACCCTCCTCAGCTTTCAACAACCCCTTGGATGTTTTCATCTGCCCTGTGACCTCCAGGTGTAAACCCCCCCCCCGCCCCCCAGAACACCTGCTTCCCTGAAAACTCACCAGGCTGGGCTGGCAGCACCTGGCAGTGTGGATAAGGACATGGTCTGCCCTCTGGCATGTCAGAACTCCACTCGGAATGCCCCTCTCCAGGAGAGCATGGTCCCAGAGGCTGGTGGGGGGGCAGATACAACCACACTGGCTGTGAACTGGAGTAACAGGGCCCTGGGGCTTCATGTAGCAGTCTCCTGTCCTGGCCCGGAGGCCTGCAGATCAATGGGTGAGCCTCTGGAGGCCAAGGGGATGCGAGGCTGGGGCTGTAGTGGGAGAAAACCTGGCAAGCTGGGTGCACAGTCAAGTCCTGGGGCCGAGAGGTTGGCAAGGGTTCTGAGGGGCCACCCCGCCGTTTTCTTTGTGGGTGTCGGACAGGGAGGCTGGATTTCTGCAAGTTCAAAAGACTGTTGGGGTTGGAGTTGGGGCTGGGGCTGGCAGCTTCTGCTAGGCCAGGAGCTAGCTCTGTCAGGGACCTGGGCCGTTGTGTGTTGGGGAGCATTGAAGAAGCTGCTGGGTTGGGTGTGGTGAACTTCTGGTCCGAGAAAGATGGCTCCAGCTGGAGCTGAGTCTGAGAAGCAGTAGGCCTGGACTGAGGGACCCCAGTTTCTGGGCCAGGCTTCCTGCCATGCCACTGGAACCGCTTTTTATAGTGGTGGTGGTGGCGGTGGTGGTGATAGTGGATGTGGCTGGAAACCCGAGTCTCCCCTGTGGGCACCACTGAGTCCAGGGAACGGGGTCGAGAGGTCACACTAGGCTGCTGCATTCCTTTTCCTCTGAGATCCCCTTCAGGGCTGCAGTATACCAAGGGGTCAAAGTCACTGCTCAGGGAGCTGCGGAAGGTGGAGCTGCTACCGTGGATCCCCTGCAGGCTGATGTCTGTGCAGTTGACCACTGAGTCACTGGAAGAGCCATGACAGGGCCCTGAGCTGGAGTCACTGGCTGGCCCATCTGCCAGGTAGCCGCTGCGTTCTGTACAGTAGCTTTCTCCAGACCCACTACTGTCGTGAGGCCTGGCCCGGCGTAAAGCCACTGGGCAAGCCGTGGGGTGCTGAGAGGTGCATCGGAGGCGGCTCAACCCCCAGCCCCGTGCATAGGGCTGCTGAGATACTGCCAGGTGCTGTTGTTCTGCTGGTGTCCGGAGATGTGCAGCCCTGGGGAGACGCTGATGCCGAGAGCCCATACTCGGCTCCTGGGAGGGTAGGAAGGGTCTAGGTCTTGGGGGCCGGGCCACTGAATTCCTGGAAGGGCCCAACAGGTAGGCAGAGGGGAGATGATAGTGGGCATGGCCAGGATGCTGGCGAATGAGGTGGAGTCTCCTGCCTGGTTCCTGGTAAGATGGAGAGGCTCCCAGGGCCTGGGAAAATGAATCTCCCTCTGGGAAAAGAACGAAGAACATGGACATTTGATCTCACAGACACAGACTTCATACAGAGAATGAACTCAGAAAGGCATAGCCTCTCAACTCAGTTTGGGGAACCAAGACCATCTAATCTAAAACCTACCCCTGCCTGGAAGTAACTCCTCCTCTTCATTAGGCTGTCAATCCCTGCTCCTCCCGCCTGCCATTTGTGGCTCTATCACCCAGGGCCACCATTAGCTCACACTGTCCCTTTGGATGGACTAACACAAGGTTCTTTTTCCTCAAGATATGGATTTCATGTCCATCTTTGAGAAAATTGCTATACTGATTTTATTAGAATAGGGCCCTTATTGCCAGAACATTAGAATAATGAATTCACAAATAACCGGGATTTAGAATCGACAATGTTGTCATGGAGACACACTCTTTAAGAAAATGAAGATGGCTTCCGTATGGCCAGCCCTCCCCAAGAGACAAGGTGCTCTTGAGCAGTGTGTGGTGAAGCCACCGTGGTGGCAGCTGCTTGTCCTCAGCCCCACAGTAGAAACCCTTTCCCAGAGGCTAGCTAGCTATGTTCTAGATCCATCTGTGTGCGTGAGGGAAGCCCTTGGTCCACCTCCTACCTACGATGTTGAACATGCAGAGGGGGCAAGTCCGATGCTGGTGTAGCCAGGGGTCCACACAGGTGCGATGGAACTCATGGTGGCAGGAGATGACCCGGAGCTCCTGAAGCAAACAAGAGTGTCCCCATCAAAGGTTACAAGGATCCCCCTAACGTTCCTTTCAGTCACCTCCTTACAAAGGAACAGGAGAGTAATGGAGGAGTGAGCTTTGGTAGCTGGTGGATTTGTGTTAAGCTGCATGACTTTGGGCAAGTTTTTTCTCTCTCTCTCTCTCTTTTTGGTTTTACTTTTTTTTTTTTTGAAGATAGTCTCACATAGTCCTTGACCTCTTGAGCATGCTTTTCCTATCACCCAAATGCTGGATTAGAGTCATGCACCACAATGCTTGGCTCAAGTTTCTTAACAGTTTCTGCTGTCAGTGAGGATAAGAACCCAATCTACTCCCCACCCTCCTCTGCCATGGGGCTAACACGAGATAATGGGTTTAAAGTGCCATTGTGGCCTGACACGAGGCTCCTTCTCAACAATGCTGATGCTTTTTCTTAGAACATGCCCAAGTTTAGGAGCAACACATAGGACCCAGATGTAGTTAGGATGCAGTCCTACCTAGACCTGTCCACGCCTGCCCCAGCTACCGCCTCCATCTCAGCCTGGCCCACCTCACCTGCCCCTCTGAGAACTCCTCCAGGCAGATGGCACACATAGGGGCCGAGCTGCAGCTACTCCCTGAGTCTGGACACTCGGCTCGAGCCCGCCGACAGCTGGCTTGGTACCTCCTGGTGGCCAGCTGGCTGATGGCCCAGGCCGTCTGTTGCCGAAGAGGGTCCTGGGAAGAGGAATGGTGTTCAGGGGGAGGCAAGGGCTCTGTTTCCCTCTCCTCTGGGCCACAGCCTGGACTCAGTTCCATCACCCCATTAGATCACACAGCCACATGACTGCCCTTGGGGGAGTATCCCTTCAAAGCTCATGCAGAGCTGTGACCTTCCAACCCACCACCTTGCTATATCCCATTATGCTTTTCTTCCTTTGATGACTCTTGAGAGAAACTTTAAAAATGATTATTATTCTAGTCTGTGTGCATGGGCGTTTTGTCTGCCTGTATGTCTGTGCACCATGTGCGTGCCTAGTGCTCGTAGAGACCAGAGAGGGTGTTGGATCCCCTAGAACTGGAGTTACAGACAGTAACTCCCATGCTCACCCACCTCTGGTCTGTGCTATGCTGTCATTTTCTCTATGCAGACTCACCTGGACTGGTTTAGAAAAGGTTAACTAACCCTGTCTCCCCTGCCCGCGGGCTCCTCTGCACCTCCTTCCCTGTTCTCTGTAGACTCACCTGGACTGGTTTAGAAAAGGTTAACTACCCCTGTCTCCCCTGCCCGCGGGCTCCTCTGCACCTCCTTCCCTGTTCTCTGTAGCAAGCACATGCTGCAGTCAAAAATATCACACATTTCACTTCTTTTAGTGCCTGTTTCCTCCCACTAAGATGAGAGCTTCTTAAGAGGGAAGGATTGGGGCTGGAGAGATGGCTCAGCGGTTAAGAGCACTAACTGTTCTTCCAGAGGTCCCGAGTTCAATTCCTAGCAACCACATGGTGGCTCACAACCACCTGTAATGAGTCTAGTGCCATCTTCTGGCCAGCAAAGACACATGCAGGTAGAACACTACATGAAAAATAAATATTAAAAAAGAAAACAAGAGCGAAGGGTTTTTGTCATTTTTACTCACAGTACTGTTTCCAGCACCTGAAACTGATATATATTACTCAGTATATATGATGGATGGATGGATGGATGGATGGATGGATGGATGGATGGATGAGAGATAAGAGGAAAGGCAGCCTCAAACCATCAGAGAGCCTAGAGTTTATTTAGATAGAGACTGTTTCATAAGGCCACCTGTCTGCCTCACCTTTTTCTTCCCACCTCCACATCTGTACCCAAGCCCTCCTGTATCAGGCAGCCCCCCCCCCCCCCCCCCCCCCCCCCCCCCCCCACCCCCCGCGCTCCCCACTCACCGGTCTGCTGTGGTGGGGCCGACATCGGATGCGTAGCACTGAAGCCAAGATGATAACAAAGATGGTACCCACCACAGTCAGGAGGATCCACACGTCATAATCTGGCTGGGGATGGGGGGGGGGGTGGGCAGAGAGGAGAAAGGGTCACACTCCAGAAAGAGCCAGGCCAAGTCCAGAGGGAACACTGGAGTAAAGAGATGGAGCTGAAAGATCCCCTGGGCCTCCCGCCTGAGGGATGGATGAAGGGTGGGACTGGAAGGACTAGGTAGTCTCTCGGCCTTGGGGCTGCAGGAGAGGGATCTCTAGATGCAGCGGTGAGACGTCTTATCTGGAGACCCATGTGTCTGCAGGCAAAGGAGAGGATCCCTGTGTAAGGTGGGAGCTATTTGCTGGAGAACGGCAGGGGTCAGAGCCCGCGCCAGGCAGGCAGGCTTCTCTACTCTATGCCATGAACCCACAGGGCTGAAAGCAGCTTCAGGATTCACCACAGCCAATCTGTTTACCCCGTAGACAAGGCTCAGAGAGTGGGAGAAATTCCCAGAGATACGTGGCTAGGGGCTGAAGCGGTTTCCAGGGGTCTGGTGGACTGAGGCCTGATGGGCTTACCCAGGCTGGGGGCTCCTTCAGCTCAATCCTCACATGGGCCTTCCGATTCTTGTACACAAACTCCATCAGCTTCTCGGCATCATTACCCCAGATCAGCACCACTGGCCAAGTCAGCCCCAGGGGCTGCCTCAACTGCAGAGAACAACAAAGTCCCACAAGGGCTCTTGTGACTTCTGCTTCCCCCAGGAATCCTACCTTCCTCCATCGAGACCCTTCCTGGAGCACCCGCATGTCCCTAGGCACCTGCTCGGCAGCTGATCGATCCTCGGTGATGTCGAAGAGTACCGCACTGGCTCCTCGCTCGCCAGCCATTCGGGCCTGCAGAAACACAGCAGAGGGTTGTCTGGAGCCAGACAAGGTCACAGGCCAGCCATGGGGAGCTCTCAACCCTGAACACACACACGCGCGCATGCGCGCGCGCGTCGCATCTCTCCCTAGGATGTGCACCCTGTGCACTCACATGTATGTGTGGAAGGAGTCAGGGAGCCTGGGATCCCTGGCTGACCCAGCCCACTGCCTTCAAAGAATGGCGTTCAGTCTTTCCCTGTGAAATGGAACACTCATCCAGGTTTTTCTGGGTGCCAGTAAGCCAGCTTTGGTTCTAGGGTAAGATAAGCCCCTGCTCAGGGATCAGGCATGCTAGAACAAAGGGCAGGGAGGGACCAGCAGTTGGAGGGGGAGAGAGAGGACATGGGGAGAGCAGAGGAGGACCCAGCCCTGCCTAACCAGAGGTGGCTATGGAATTCCACCCATCAGGAGTGAGGCTCAGGCAAAGTGCCGAGGGCCCGGGACAACTGTTCTCACCCAGAGCCTCCACGGCAGATCCCCACCTCAGTGCCTCCCACAGGGGCGCTCTCTGTCTGCCCCTCTCTAGCTTTGCCAAGCTCTTTGGTTCTAACTCAGGGCCTTAAGGAGTCCTTGTCCAGGTGCTTGATCGCTTCGTCCCCTCCCTTAGGATGGCTGGATTGAGGAGGGCCTAACTGCTCCCACAGGGACAGAACTGTGCGCAGGTGCACGTGTACGTTTGCCAAGGGCGCCAAGAGTACAGCGGAGCCAGTACAATCTAGCCAGCCCGCAGCAGCAGCAGCAGCAGCAGCCGCGCAGCAGCGCAGATAACAGCCAGAGACAGATCAAGAGGAGGGAATCTGGGGCCCGTGTGGGGGTGAGGGGAGGGAGATAAGAACGCAACAGCAACAACTAACTGACAAGGACCGGCTCTGGGAAGGTGCTGTTCCCAGCCTGGAATCGGACCGGCCAGACCAGAGGCTCATCCTGTCTGTCTGCCTGCCACCTCCTGTACCATCTCCCACCCAGGGACCCTGCTGACTCTCTGGGGCCTTCCTGCAGGCAGTGAAGGAGTTAACCCTTCTGCAAGTCACCAAGGCAGGAAGAGGAGCCAGTGCTGGGACTTACTCACAGCCCCAGAGCTTTGATCTAGGCTGTCTTCCCAGGCAGCGCCTGTTGCGGCAGGTCCCCTGCCAGGCTGGCTGGGAGCAGCTTGGCCCTCTGCTCTCTGCTCCCCACTCCCCAAGCAGGGGAAGGGGCTAGCGGGCCCCTCAGAACCAGTTGCCTGCAGGCAGGGAACAGGGGGAGGGCAGAGAGACACTTAAGTGGGGCCCCTATTTTGGTTAGGATAGCTTTCCTTTCTTCTCTCTTGCTCCAGGGAGCTGGGCTGGTCCCTCCCCGGGGCCTGCCTAGGTGAAGTGACTACCACCCCCAAGCCCCGAGGAAATCCTCGGACTCTACAGGGGACTGGGGAAGAAACTGAGAAATTGCAGCTTCTACTCTTAACCACTTCCTCCGAGAAAGCCCAGCCTACTCCAAACCATCTTCAGGGCTCTCCAAATTAGAGCTTTCAAAAAGTGTTGGCACCAGAGGCACCTGTCTTTAATTTAATTTAATTCCAGCACTCGAGAGGCAGAGGCAGCTAGATCTCCGAGTCCAGGGCCAGCCTGGTCTACAGAGTGAGTTCCAAGATAGTCAGGGCTACACAGAAAAACCCTGTCTCAAAAAAACAAACAGCTGGAGAGATGGCTCAGTGGTTAAGAGCACTGGCTGCGATTTCAGAGGACCCAGGTTCAATTCCCAGCAACCACATGGCAGCTCACAACTGTCTGTAACTCCAGTTCCAGGAGATCTGACACCCTTACACCAATGCACATAAAATAAAGTTAAATGAATTTAAAACAAACAAACAAACAAACAACAACAAAAGTGTTGGGAAAGGAACCCAATAGGTTAATCCTTCTGGTAATCTCATAGCCCAGGGATGGACTGGGTGTGGGTTGGGCACCCAGTAGTCACAGGATGAGATTCCTAGGGCCTCAGGTTTCCCATACCCAAGACTCTGGGCTCAGTGTGGCCTACAAGAGCATGGGGGCTCCCTTCTTTGCAGATTTTCTCACTTCTTCATCCCGCTCTCTTTGAAGAATTGGGGTAGGAACAGTAGAAAGCAATTACTGTGAGGTTCAAACACCCTAGCCCATTACAGCCCATAATTACAAAGTTGTAAAAGTGATCAAAGAGTCCAGAGAGTTGCCAGCAGAGGAAAATAAACAGGACTTTCTGTCAGTGGCTTCCTGTGTCCGGAGTTCTAGAGACAGAAAGTCAGATTTGGGGATGGACTGCAGTCCAACCCGGGGCTCTCTGAACCTCTTGCCTGCTTGGACCCAAGAGTAGGAGCTACCAAGTGTCTATTTGAGGAGTGGAACCTGGAAGACAGAGAGGATCCCAGGCTTTAGAAAGACAGTGCAGAGTCCTCTCTGGAGGCTTCAGGGTGGGCCAGGCCTTGGGCCAGCAAGCAAAGCTGTATCAGGAGCCAATCCAGAGCATGCAGAGAGGGAGCTGGAATCCTGTCTCCTGGTCCACTAGCCAGCTGTTAAAATGTCCTTTACAGACCACAGTGGCTGTTTCTGTACATCACCTGCTCATCCATAATGCAACAGTACCCACTATGCCTGAGCTAACAAGCTAGGAAGGCCCTGACTCTCTATGCACATAAAACCAGAATGCTCGTAACAATATTCCAGAGCACAAACAGGAAGGAACAGACAATAGTCACTTTTCACCTCAGAATGCCTTTTCCTCTAGTTCTATGGTCCCCAGTCTCACACAAAACAGACAAATGTGAAGCAGCTCCCTCTGGGGGTGGGGTGAAGGGAAAGCACCTTAACCCTCCCCACCCCCGGGCCCCCAGCCCCAGCACCTCCAAGAAACACAGACTTAGCAGAACATTTTGTTGAAAGTCTATTTGCCCAAAGACTGCCATTTGCTGGGAGGCATGCTAGAGGGAGGGATTTCTGCCCCCACAGGGCTGGGGTCACGCTGGAAAGAGTCAGTAGGACAATCGGTACTAGGCTGCGCTTGAGAACAATGGAGAAGGAGAAGCATGTGCTTCTTACTGAGATCTACCCCGTCCAGAGTGCCTAAGTGGGAATCCCAGCTCTGCTCCACTATTAGCTGTGAGACTTTGGGGCAACTCTTCCATGCTTCCATTTTCTTTTCTGTAAACTGGGACAATAACAGGCCCTACCTCACAGAGCTACTGTGAGAACTACATTAATTAATCCATGTAAAGTACTTAAATTTGTGCCTGGCACATGGTGCTATTTTTTTCCTTTTTTTTTTTTCTTTTTCCTGAGACAGGGTTTCTCTGTGTAGTTTTGGAGCCTTTCCTGGAACTTACTCTGTAGCCCAGGCTGGCCTCGAACTCACAGAGATCCGCCTGGCTCTGCCTCCCGAGTGCTGGGATTAAAGGTATGCGCCACCACCACCCGGCACATGGTGGTGTTATATCAACTATTATATATGGTTTGTATACATGAGTTCGTTTATTCTTTAATTTTCCCTAAGACAGTAAGGAAACCAAGACTCAGAGGGCCTGAACTGGTCCATGGACAACAACTGATAAACAGTGAAGATTGGACTTCATCATCCTGGACTCCCGCTTCCAGAGCATCTACTCTTTCGGTTTTGTTTTGTCTTAAGGCAGTCTCGCTATGCTGCCCAGGCTGGCCTCACACTCACCACCCCTACTCACTCAGTATTCCTGCATGCTGTGATTACAGGTATGTGCCACCACGTCCAGCTTGAGAGTGCCTTCTCTTAACTACTGGGTGGCGGCCATCTTGGTACCCAGCTGCTTGTCTACCATCCTTCCATTAGGCAAAAGGCCTCTGTACTTGTCCAGGCATGACAGGGGAATTGGAGCTGATAAGGAAGCGGACTCCAGTCCAGGTGACCCGGTAGGAAAAGTCCAGAAGAATTATGGCGAGGGTTTCAGAGGAGCGCAAGTGAGTTAAGGAGGAAAATAAAATCAAAACCAGCCTTTGTGAACGGTAATGTGTGCAAGGAGTCAGGGACCCTGGAAAGACTGTTCAGTGGTGGAACACACACTTAGTGTGCAACGCTCTGGGTTCAATTCCCCAGAAAAACCAAAATAAACAAAATAAACAACCCCCCCCCCCCCCCCCGTACGGAATGGTAATGTGTGTGACAACATGATGGATGGTCACTGCAGTCATTGTTGAATGATTACTACTGTGCTTAGCACTCTGAGCTAGGAGTTTGCATCTGTACCGTCTCATCAAATCCTCATAACTAGGGCAGGAGCGATGGCTCAGCAGTTAAGAACACTGGCAGCTCTCTCAGACGACCCAGGTTCAATTCCTTGCACTCTCATGATGGCTCACGATGATCTGTAACTCCAGTTCCAGGGGGTCTGATGCCCTCTTCTGGCCTCTGAGGTCACACAGCCATGCATGCAGACAGAACACCCACACACATGAAATACTCCTTCCTTCCCGCCCTCTCCCTGATTCCTTCCATCTATTCATTTTTTAAGGGGGTCTCTTCAATCCTAGGCTAAACTTGAACTTGATATGTAGCCAAGGATGACCTTGAACACCTAATCCTCCTGTCTCCATTTCCTGAGTGTTGGAGTTATAAGCATGTGCCACCACACCTGACTTACCATTAATATTAAGGGAAAACCAGAGCAGAAATTAACTGGGATCAGTGATTTTCAATTTTGTTTTGTTTTGAGACAAGATTTCTCTGTGTAACAGTCTTGGTTTCCTGGAACATACTCTGTGGCCCAGGCTGGCCTCGAACTCACAGAGATCCACCTGCCTCTGCCTCCCAAGTACTGGGATTAAAGGTGTGCGCCCCCACTACCTGGCTTCAGTTTTTTTCTTTACCAAAGATCTTATCTTTCCCTTACACTTCCTAGGGGCCATAGTGTGTGTGTGTGTGTGTGTGTGTGTGTGTGTGTGTGTGTGTGTGTGTTCCACTAAACTAGCCATATATATTATTCATCTTGTTATATAATTATTATTATATAATAACACACTGAACTTAAGAGAATTCTATAAAGCCAAAGCAAAATTAAGTACTTCAGTTTAGCCTCTGAGATTTCTGAGACAACAGAAGTAGCTAGAACATCCTTATTACTAACCTTACAAACTTCTTTTGAGCAGGCAACCCTAGGCAAACACCGGTTGGCCAGGTTGGATGATGGGGTCCCACTGGCATGGCTGGAGGAAGGGCAATTCCCTCAGCAATGAGAGAGAAGCCAGGTGTGGGGCTTCGTCCTGACTGTCAATTTAACTGGACTGAGAAGTACCTAGGGGGTTAGCGAAGGGTACCTCTGGGTGTGTCTGTGAAGATGTTTCTGGAAAGCTTAATTAAAGGGGAAGACCTGCCCTAATGTGGGCAGCACCATCCCAGAGACTGAGGTCACAGATGGAGTGGACCAGAGAAAAGGAGAAAGCACACTAACTAGCATAGCCTTGTGTGTGTGTGTGTGTGTGTGTGTGTGTGTGTGTGTGTGTGTGTGTGTGTGTGTTGGGTGGGTGCAGGGCTTCCTGGGTCACTGTAATATGAACTTCTCTACCCGCCATGCTCTCCTACCACGAAGGACTACCTCTGCAGCACAGGCATAGCAACACTGAAGCTTTCTACTATGGCCTGAGGCTTCTGAAAATATAAGCCAAAATGAGTCCTCCTTCTCAGAAACGGTTCTCTTAGGTATTTTGCCACAGCAACAAAAAGTCGAATGCACTAGGTTTTGGGTGCAGGCAGAGTCAAGGCACTCATTTTCAACCCCACCATGCTTTCTGCTGCTGTTTTAGTCTGACCTTTCTCTGGGCACGGTCTCATGCAGCTCATGGTCTTGAACTTGCTATGGAGCGACCGCTGGAATTACAGGTGTGCACCACCACGGCCGATTTACACGGTGATGAGGATCGAACCCGGGGTTTCATGCACAGTAGGCAAACATTCTACCAACTGAGTTATCTATCCCCAGCCCTCGTCTTGTTTTGGAGACAAGATCTCATGCAGCCTTGGTTAGCCTGTTTTGGAGACAAGATCTCATGCAGCCTTGGTTCGCCTGAAATTTGCAATGTAGTAGAACAGGCTGGTTTTGAGCTTGTAGCGATCCTCCAGCCTGAGCCTCCTGAGTACTCCTGAGTACGGAGATCACAGGCCTGTGCCCCATGCCTGGCTCAGTTGTTACTTTGTGATCACTTTAGTTCAAGCACTACTGATATTGTGGCTCATTACTTCTCGTGATTACAGTAAACACTGGGGAAAGGCAGGGCTCTACCGAGCACCCCAAAGGGTGTTCCTTGCTACAGTGTCTGTGCACACTCTTCTAAAAGAATGTGGTCCTTGGGGCTCGAGAGATGGCTCAGTGGTAAAGAGCACTAGCTGCTCCTGCAGAACAACCCAGGATTGGACAGAGGCACCCACACAGCAGCCCACAACCATCTGTAACTTTGGCTCCAGGGAACTGGATGCCCTCTTCTGTCCTCCAAGGACACCAGGCAAGCTGGTAGTGTATATATATATATGTGTGTGTGTGTGTGTGTGTGTGTGTGTGTGTGTGTGTAGGCAGGCAAGACATGTAAGATAAAGATAAATCTTTTTGTTGTTTGTGACAAGGTCTCTCTCCATAGCCCCGACAATGCTAGAACTCACAGCGATCTGCCTGCCTCTGTCTCCCAAATGCTAGGACTAAAGGTAAGGGCCACAATGCCCAGCTAAAAATAAATATTACAAAAAAAAGTAATGTGTTCCTGCAAAGGTCAAGGAGAAAGCCTCCTGCCTGGAAGCATCCTTACAGTTGGTCACGTGTGCACGGGCTGTGCAATACTGTGTTAAAAGAACTGCAGGAAACCAGGTGTGGTGCTGGCCTGTGGACGTCCTCAGCCAGTCTGGGTCGTGAGGACCTGGGGCAGGCCTGTAATTGTCTTCCCACTGAATATTATTTTAAGTTTTTATTTGTTTTGGGTTTCTTTTTTTTGAGACAGGGTTTGGTGGTATTGTGTTCCCCAAAATATTGTGTACCCTAATAAACTTATCTGGGTCAGAGAACAGAAAAGCCACTAGATACTTAGGATAGGCAGTGGTAGCACATGCCTTTAATCCTAGCATTCCAGAGGCAGAAATCCATCTGTTCAAGGATACAGCCAAGCATGGTGACTCACGCCTCTAATCCCAGAAAGCGAGCCTTTAATCCCAGGGAATGGTGGTAGAAAGCAGAAAGGTATATAAGGCATGAGGACCAAGAACTAGAAGCATTTGGCTGGTTAAGCTTTTAGGTTTTGAGCAGCACAGTTCAGCTGAGAGCCATTCGGATATGAGGACACAGAGGCTTCCAGTCTGAGGAAACAGGATCAGCTGAGAAGTTGGCCTGGTGAGGTTAGCTGTGGCTTGCTCTGTCTCTCTGATCTTCCAGTGTTCACCCCAATACTTGGCTCCGGGTTTGTTTTATTAATAAAGATTCTTTAAGATTCCTGTTACAACAGGGTTTCTCTGTGTAGCCTTGGCTGTCCTGGAACTTGCCCTGTAGACCAGGCTGGCCTTGTACTCACAGAGATCCACCTGCCTCTGCCTCTGCTGGTTTGAAAGACGTGTCCCACCACTGTCTGGTTTATTTCCAGTTTTTAAATGTGGCAATTAATTTACATTTTAGTGGGGGGTATTTTGTTTTGTTGTTTCAGTTTTTGTTTTGTTTTTATTTTGAGACAGGGTCTCATACATCCCAGGCTGGCCTCACACTCACCATGTGACTGAGGTGACTTTGAATTTCTAATCATCTTGCCTTCATCCTGGAGAGCCAGGATGATAGGCATGTACCACCAAGCCTGGCTTTAGGAAATGTGAGAGAACAAAGTCAGGCAAGGGCTGTGTGGACTAGGCCAGCTGAGCCATAGCCCCAGCCCTAATTCACATATGGACCCTGGTGCAAGCCCAAGTCATCTTGCAGGCCCCAAGTTAACAAACCTCACAGGAAATGTGTACACATTGTAGGGAGAGCAATAACTTCCACTTGGCTGTTCTGTTTTCCTTTCTTCAGTCAGGCTTTTGTTATCCAGCACTGGACGACCTCGTACTTGTACAGCCTGAGCTGACCTCGAATGCACAACAACCTAGCTCAGCCTCCTAAGTGCTGGAACCACAGGCATGAGCCATGGTGCTTGGTGCTCAGCAGATGTTTCTGAAGTGTGAAAAAAACCTTCCAGTGACACCCCACCCTGCACCTCTGCTGGTTAGCTAGCTGGATTTGCTCTTGAGCTGAGGAAGGGCAAGTCT